TGACTTCTTTGAAGAGTTGGATTACAGGGATTCGATTTGTTTTTCAGTTGGAGAACCACAGAAAAACAGTAAGTACTGGACAGCTGTTTCATTCTAGTTTGGAACTTATCGGTAGTGCGCACCCCCGGGTTTCGAACCCAGGACGTTCCGGTTACAAGGCAAACTGGCAGGCCATCCACACAACTGGGACCAGATTTAGTGGTTAACTGCACAATTTATATACACCATGTTATTATCCTATTGACTAAACACGGTGACTGGTTTATATTTCAAAATTTATTTGTAAAGTTATGTATATTAGAGTTAAGCCTGATGCGATCGATTTGAAAACAGTATTGTTCGCTTAAATGTGCTATTCTAAATTTTACTGTGGAATTATTTAACAGAGGTTTGTTGATAGTTCACTGTGGTTCAGTGTAGACATTTAACAGTTGACCGATCATGTATTCATTCTCAGATCAGTAATATAATAAGTCTTTTGTCAAGGACCATTGGATCGGGTCCCAGTGGCTTAATGGTATACGAGCTCGCCTTGTAACCGGAAGGTCCTGGGTTCGAATCCCGGTGGGTGCGTACTGTTGAAGAGTCCCAAACTAGGACGAAACAGCTGTCCAGTACTCCCAGGTTTTCCAATGGTTCTCTAACTAATGTCAGCTCATGATGAAATCCTGAAATATATCTTGTTAGAAAGAGATTTCTCAAAGATTAATTGACAGGTTTGCTGTCAGGATAGTGACAAAAAATTAGTAATAATTACATAGTTAGATAAGAGAAGATCAAAATTTGATATGCAAGAGGTTAGATGAAAAGGTGATGACGTAATACGGTGAGTAGAACTCATAGGGTCAAGAAAAATTATTTCTTGTAGAAGTCAAACAGAAGAAACGAAGCGAGGAGGGGAGCGTTGGAAAGATAAGTTAGTGAAGTTTGAAGACCAAGAGTTATTGAGCGATGAGTCACTAGGGTAATTGGAGGTCAATGAGAGATTCAGGTGTCAGCTGGTTTATTGTGATAGCCTCAAGAAACCGAAGAGGGCTTGAGTTGTTTTGTCTCTTAATTATTTTGAATGATGTCAGCGCGTCTACTCGATGTGCAGTGTCTATTGGATGTTTGGTAATTGAACAGAGTAAAATATTGGCCTCTTTTTACCGGTAGCTTCTTGGTACATATTCAAATAATCTGACATAGGCCCTTCTTTCTGTTCTTCTACTGTAACTACTCCCGCATATAGATTTGAATCGGTATAAACATTTGTCGACCTTTGATTGCAACAACGAAGAAGATGTTCGGAGTATAGAGACTAGTTTCACTGCAAGATACGTCCTGGACAGGATTGGACTTGATCTTCTATTTGTGATTCTCATAGTGTCATCGCTTTTGAAGTCGAGTTTGATGAAAACTGGCTTTCAAGTGTTGGTTTGGTAGGGATTTTGTTTGATTGTATGGAGGATTTCATCATGAGCTGATATCAATTAGAGAACCACTGGAAAACCTGGATCGGTTCCCAGTGGCTCAATGGTCTACTAGTTCGCTAGCCTTGTAACCAGAAGGTCTTGGGTTTGAATCCCAGTGGGTGTGTACTGCTGAAGAGTCCCAAACTTGTGGGATGAAACAGCTGTCCAGTACTCCCGGCTGGTTTTCCAGTGGTTCTATAACCAGTGTCAGCTCATGATGAAATCCTTCATACAATCAAAGAAAACTGGCTTTTTACTGACCGTTGATTCTTACCATATTTGTCAATGAATCTTTGTGGATAACCATTTTCTTTCAAGTAATTCTCAAGCAGCATTAGTTTACTGTCTAATTTATCAGGTGAATACATTGGAGAAGAGCGTTTTCACCGGCGTTCGTCTGTAACTGACTGGACAGAAGCTGTTGAGGTTTAAGTAGAGGCCTCTCCATGTGTCTTTACGATGTATCGATCTGACGAGTGTCCCATGTGATGTTTTACTTCAAGTATATATCCAGGAAGTGGAAGTTAACAGCAACTTCGTGCTCCATCGTGATAATCATACTCTTATGTACATTGCTGAGTAAGTCCAATAGACAAGAAGCGTGAATAAAATCATTACATACAATGAATATGTTATCTACTTATCTGTAGTCGGCTGTTGTTTCGTCACTGTCACACTCGAGTTTATGTACGTACGTCTACGTATAAAAATTCCACAATACCATATTTGGCGGCATGTATTTTATGTGATGGAAATAGTGTTAGGCATGAACTAACTCACCTTCATTGCACTACTAAATATACCATTTCCTTCACCCTTACAACATCAAATTTTATTCTTATTGTGTTTCTTATATTTATAATCATATCATTTTTTTTATTTTTTTTATTTTTTTCATAATTGTGAATATCATTTAAGGTGTGTTATAACTCTTAATTTTGTATTTCCCCTCAACATACTGCTATATCAACAGAACATTAGATCCAATAATCTATAACATGCTAAAATTTCCAAACTGAATCGACAATACTGTTTGAAACAAACTCACTGTTATTATTATTATTATTATTATATTTAATGATCTCACTTCGTGCTTCGAACATTTTTGACTTTATACTGTAAATGTTGACCAATTTCTCTGGTTAATTTTATTTTAATTTTGTTGATATTTTGAGTAAATCAGATGCAATATTGGGACAAATGCTGAGAATTCCATTCTGTATTATAAGTAGTGCTGTTTTTGGAATAAATTAGATTATTATTGATAAAAGGATTTCATCATGAGCTGACACTTGTTAGAGAACCATTGGAAAACTGGGAGTACCGGACAGCTGTTTCCTCAACCTAGTTTGGGATTCTTCAGCAGTACGCACCCTTCCCCGTGGTGTTCGAACTCAGGACCTTCTGGTTACAAGGCGAGCTAGCTAGTAGACCATTAGGCCACTGGGAACCGGTCCAATGGTCCATGATATGTGGTCACATGATGTGTGTGTTTGTTTTTGACAGTCTATTATATTTTGCTATGTGTATATGGATCGATATTCCATCATAACTGACAATATGCTTTTGTCTGTCCACTAACTAAGTAAATAATGTATGACCTTATTATCACATGACATTACAACCAATCATGGTAAGACGTTACCTTATTGGTTCATGTGTATTAGCCATTTTCTTACATACTTTGCATTGTACACTTTATATATTCTTGTTCACACGTTCGTACATCTAAGTACCCTTCCACTCACACTCTTGTGTGACATATATTTTCCTTGTCTGGAAAAAATACAAGTATCATCGTAAACCTGGTGGTCTTCTGATTTCCCTCTTTCCGCATCAGGACTATTAACTACTCGACGAGTACATAACAGTCCATGAATTCTAATGTCTAGCCAATGTCTTCGGTGAGTATTTCTCCTCACACCCGACCTGCTCCACCCTACTGGTCATGAAAGAGCAGTCCAGTACTTCCAGGTTTTCTACTGGTTCTCTAACCAGTGTTAGATCATGATGAAATCCTGTAACGAATCAATCAAATCCCTACAGACGAATACCTCAATATAGATTATTATTAGTCTCAGGATTGGCCATATGATATGTCATTTTCCTTATTATTCATAAAGACTGGTGTTCTTCCTGATACTCTCTATCGCTCTCTCTGTACCTTAAGTTGTGAGGAATCAACACAAGGATTAATCCAGTCCATATATTACATAATGGACAACACTTTTGGATTCGAAACTATGGGTATTGGGTTCGAGTCTCAGTGGGACTACAATCACTCCCGTGGCATTGCAGGTACAAGTAGCTGACAGGTCTCAGAAAAGAGGGAATTTTCATCCTAGATACTCAATAGTGGTCACCATCTGCCGAATAACATCATTTTAAGCCTCAGATATCGTCGAAGCGTCTGTACGAAGAGCGGCGACATATCAACTTAGACCGTACATTTAGGTCTCACATAGTCAATCAACGGGGAACACACATTTACCTCAAACAACCAGCATTTGCCTTGATGAATATTTTTATGATAAATACCACACTTTAATTTAATGTCTCATTACTTTGCTTCATTGATTTTCCATACGACTCAATGGGGATTTTCAAGCTATTAACAATTTACTAATGATAGCCATTTCAATGTGCGTTCACGAATTCAAAAACTCGTATACAGCCAGTTAATTAAGAGAATGTAGTCATTGGTCTTAAACCAAGAATCTTAGTGAAGATATCCAAGTGTGTTCCGGTATTAAGGCAGAAAACGGATGTCTCAACAGAGCAATTCGATAAATTCGGTAAATAATGGTTACCTGATCAAATCGGATGAAGTTATTTGTGTAATTTGTCGTTTGCACAATGACTCATCAAAACTCTTGTGCTTCCTGATATTCTCCCTCTCTCTGCCTGTACCTTGGATTGTGAGGAATCAACATAAAGATCGTCTTCATCCATATTTGATATAACACCGTATTTCGAAACCAGGTTCGAGTCTCAGTGAGACCACCATTAGAGCATTGCTGGCGCATCTAGCTAACGAGTGTCAAAGAGGAAGGAATGTTCATCTTGGATACTCACTTTTAGTCACCGTCTACCAAATAGCATCACTTTAATCGTCAGATATCGCCGAACCATCTATACTAGGAGCCGCAACAACATGGCAACAGAGACCGTACATCTGGGTCTAACAGAATCAATCAACTTGGAAAACATAATTACCTTAAACAACCATCATCTGCCTAATGAATATGCCTAACATAGATTTCCCACTTTAATGTAACCTTTCATTACTTCACTTCACTGATTTTTCATTGGTAAAATTTTTTTCATACGTCAGTGACAATATTACTTACCTTAAGTGCCTTTCCACTTTTACCACAGTTTAACTTATACGGCATTTACGCCTGCGAGGTCATCTGTATTATTAGCCAATCATGTGATAAACAGAATTAAACTGCACCTCACTCTGATTGGATAGTTCAACAGACAACGTAAGTGTTACTAAAGTAACAAGTTTATTTAACTTTATCGAAAAGTAATCCAATTTGTCATAGAAGTGCTAATTCACACACATGTTCGCGCATACAAGATTAGATCAAATTCTCTCATAATCAAGAAAAATGCTGGTTAAGTACTTCTCTCAATTGTATCATTAGTTTATTTGACTAATTATCTACTTAGTTAGTCGGCTTACCAATATTCCCGTCCACCTTTACATACACTGAAAAAATTAAACAACACTAAAGGCACGCCTGTTCCAAATGCTTATTTTTTAAATTTCATAAATACACTACTTACAATAAAACAGTAGGCAAAACAATTTCAATGTAAATATTTTCGATACACAAAAAAAGGTTTTTTCTTTTTTAAATTTTTTGCCATAATATGAATAAGGTGAATTGTTTAAAATTGATTAGGAAAGACTTTGGAATAGTTTTCGTGTTCTTTATTTTTGTCGTGGAAAGGGAAAGAGGCGGACGGGTGGGTGGTGGGTAAATTTGAGCATAATGATGTTGAGGATAGTATGGTTTACGAGTTGATTGAGGTGGGAAGATTATGTTGCATTTGTATTCAACATTTATGTATTTCTTAACTGAGATAGATAGATAGGTAGATGGATAAAATCAAGTTCTCCGCACGCACTCACACATACACACACATACAGAAAAATTGTGTCTATAAAACTGTGACTGTTTTTTTATAAAGATTATTGTATTCATTTACACGAATGTGAAGTGAAAATTGTCGAGAGAATATGATTTTCAACTGTATACACAAAAATTTATTTTCATAATTAATAGGAATACTAACAATAGTAATAATAATAAAAATGCTATGAGTAATAGAATCAACTCAACTCAACTCAGCTTAACTGAACTCAATACAGCACATATACACTTTAATGAATTGATTCTATACTCTTTTAGGTATACTTCACTTCTGTCGCGTTCTATTCACCAAGACATCTGTCTGTATTACAGTTTACTAGGGGGGGTTCGAACAAGTTATTTAACTTTCTGATCCATTCATATGAATTTTATTGTCTGATTTTCTTGGAAGATCATGAGGAGGTAGGATATCTACAGATGTGGTTGTAAAACTTTCAACAGGATAATTTCGTGCAGAATTGGTCATTAATTGTTCAAGCAATTGCTGTTGTTGATGTTCCTTATGATGAGGATATGGTCGTGTCTGTAGATAAGTTGGATAATCTGATGTATACAAGATGGATTGTGTCGATGGTTGATTTGTATAATTACTAGCGTGTGTCTGTTTATCACTTGGTGGTGTTGTTCCCAGTAGCGATGATGAATTATTCTGCGAATTCATTAAATTTGATTGCCATGCAAGAACAGGATTAATTGTCAACGTTTTATTCATCATTGGATTTATTGTCTGTGTTGTCCATTGCATAGTCAGTGGAGGGATAGTTGCTGAAGTCTGAAAGATACTTCCGTTCGGCTTACCTCCTATACTGCCTAAATCATTTCTATTTATCTGTTGTGTACCCCCGTTCATAGGGAATAAGGATTGTGCAGCTAAATTAAGAAATGATTGTGCTGTACTTGGATTCAACGTGATATTCTCTGGCATTCCAGACTTTAGACAACATCTTTCACTAGTGAATGCTTCCAGCGGTCTAGGTACATCATATTCATGACTACCAGCACCTGAATAAGTATATTCTGGCATAGGCCAATAGGCTGGATTTGGCGGTGGTGTAGAATTCGCTTCCAGCCGTGGTGTTGGTACACTGGTAAGTAATAATGCCTGTGGGATATTTGGTCGTCGAGTGGATATTGTTGTTGAACTAAATTGTGAGGCTAAAGGACTGCCTATCGTCGAGGTTAATCCCATATCAGCAAATGTAGTACCGGTTGTTTCGTTTATATCAGCATGCTGTAACAATTTTGCATCTAAACCATTCCCATTCTGACTAGAATGATGCGATAGAGTGGTGTGATTCATCATTGCCTGACGGTTGCCTCCACTTAACAGGAGATTATTATTATGATTATTGTTATTATTAGGATTATGATGCATCCATGAGAACCATTTACCACTATTTGATCGTAAATTCGTCGATTTACGCATACTTTTCACTGACAGTTGATTATTAATTTGACAAAACCATGAAAGACAGTTTGTCGCCAAATACAATAATGCCAGGGTAGAGATAAATGTTCCAACAACTGCTCCTAATAATTCTAATAGTGTGAATCTTTTAATAAATAAATAACTATACGTATCTTGTTTCCCTTCTTGAAGGGAATTTGTTACCATCTGTGAAGTGGTTGTCATTGTTGACGGTGAATTTACATCATTCTCAACTTTTGACACCTTTTGTTGTTGTTGTTGTTGTGGTTGAGTATTACTCACAGCAGATGATCCACTAATCATTCCTGGACTAATAAATTCAGCTGATCTCAATGGACCAGATACACGTACAGTGACTTCATGAATTCGATAATGTTGTAATCGATCCGGTTGGTTATTATTACTATTATCACTTGTTGGAACAATCAGCGATGTAGGTTTCAGTTTATCTGAAATACTGTCTAAAGAAGCCGATGATGAACTGTCGCCGGTTAATAATGATGTCGATGGTGGACCTTTATCATTATTCCATATTGTACATGTGAAATTTTTAATATTCACTGAATTCAAGCTGACATTCAACGCTAGTTTACGTTCAATTAATTTATTATTATTATTATAATTGTTATTTTTTAATGCATCTAAAGATAAGGATTTATCCACAGATTGTAAAACATATTGATCATTGAATGTTTGTTTAATAGATGCATCTAAAATTTGTTGTACTTTTTGTCCATGTATTTTATATGTCCATGCAAGACTTGGTGTCGGTCGACCTTGTCCAATACACGTCAATTGAGCTAAATCAGCACTCGGTGTCAGTAGGTTGATTTCAATTCCTGTTATACTTGGTAATGGACAAAAATACTCCCAACTACGTGGTAACCGTTTACCAGCTAATGAAGCCGGTTGAGCACATGTCATATTCATATGTTGCATAATACGAATCGATGATTCACTTGGTGAAACTGGCCAATCAGCAGCATCCATTTGAAGGTCATTGTTATTGTTGTTATTATTACTATTGGTTAATTCTTTACTATTTATATATTGATAAGCATCATACGATTGACTTTCACTAAGCCTTGATAACCACACCAGTTGACAATTACAGTTTAAAGGATTATTACTTAAATCTAAATAACCAAGAATAGGTGAATGGGTGGACGATGATAGCCGTCCAGATGAATGATAACTTTTTAATTTTGATGAATCGATAACAAGTTCAGCGAATTGTGGATCTAACCAAGTTAATTTATTATCAGATAAACTTAATTGTTTTGGTTTAGCTTCAGCGATTGTTTCATAATCCACACTGGTTAAATCACAATTTCTAGCAGCTAAATGAAATACTCTAGCTGCATGAAATGATGACTTGTCAAAGTGAATACCTTTATTATCTGTTAAAGAGAGCAGTTTTAACGAAGGTCCAGCGAATGCTTCTGGTCGTAAAGTCACTATACTATTCTTGGAAAGGTCAAGAATGCGTAAATGTTCCATGGCTGAAAAAGTGTGTGTATCGATTTCTCTCAAATTGAAATTACTTATTTGAAGGTAGGTCAATGTCTCTAAACCGGTTAGATTGTCACGTGTCAATATACCATTGTGTTGACCTAATGCACTCATACCAGATATTGTCAGTTTAGCAACTTTTGCGGGTATTTCATTCTTTGGTATCGGTAAGGCAGGGATAGCTGATTGACAAAAGAGGACTGGACGATCATTTTCTGTCAACTGTAGGCAAGCATTGACGAATGATGATCCAATGATACTGAGGAGAAGGAGAAGACGAAGAAGACTGAGGTATACGGTGGAGGGGAGTTGAGGAAAGTTCTGGAGGCTTTTAGATTTCATATCTCTTGTATCTTTGTATAATCTGTAGACAAAATAAAGAGAGAAAACATACGAAAGCTTGTTACACCATCGATAATCATAATAATAATAATAAAAGTAGCAGTAATAATAGAAAACCTTTACAAGCCAACATATGGAAACTAATCCGATGCTTCCTAGTGATTAACTGTGGGCTGGGGGCATTAACTGAGTGTGATATGAGAACAAAAACTCGCCAAGGATAGCAAGTTACAAGTGCCGCTGTATGTCTCACATTGGCAAAAGTTGGAATTCCAGAATTATTTGTTTTCGCTCCACTAGTCTAGTGGTCAACGGAATGGTCTCTTAACGTGAAGGCCCTTTGAGTTTGTTCTCCGGTGGGGTGATTGGTGTGCAGCGTTGAAGAGTCGCAAACGAAGATGAAAAAGATACTGGCAAAGTGTTACTCATCAACTGTCTACACAAAAGTAGGAAGGCAAGTGCAAAGGCCTGACACTTACAACCGAATCGGTGGTATATACATGGACCCATGGGATCACAACTCCTGACGCCGCCTCACTAATTTGTGGATTAGAATTCGTGTCATAGGCTCAGAGAATGGCTCCCTAAGACAACCAGATGTTTCGCTCTGAGCATCCAGGTAGTATCTCAGTCCTCATACAGACTTTGCGACTTTGTGTGGTACATCTTTTGTTGTCAACAATGTACCAAAAATTAATGAGTCATATGTATTATTTTGAAGAGTAATGATGTGCGTCGTTGGCACAGTGATTAGGACTCTCGCCGACCATGTATATCGTTCAGGGTTCGATCCCATGCCGACACACACCTGATATCAATGGTCGGCCTGCAACATTTGGGTGACTGATATCACATGCTGAAAATTCCATACTTGTATCAAAAATGCGGTGTGGTTTCAAGCTGTAATCAAAATTTCACCTAGCTACTCAAATTTGGGTAAGCGGAATAGGACTGAAACCCGTGATTTACTAGTCGACTGGCCACTGGTCTAATCAATGAACCACAACTCCACAAAAGCGAGAAATCATGTTTGAATTACAAGAAAATGACACCAATGGTGAAATGTTTGGTGTTTGTGTGTTCATGGAATAGGAACAGATGTGACAACGAAGTTTCATCCTTACTTAGTATCTCCTTTCAATAAACTGTAGACGGTACTTAAGTAGAGTACAAATAAAATATACTGCCCAAACCTCATACATTTACTCTCCCTCATGAATTTGAATAAAGCAAGAACAACAGTTTTTGCAGAATAAAATGGTGGCTCGGCATTCACAATGTCTCCTAGCTAACCTCAACACTTCATCCCCTTGCTTAACATTAGCACGTCTAACCCCAGTGTTTGTCATTATATTAATAATAATTTTTGGCTTTATTCCCAAAACAGTACTAATGATACAGCAAGGAATTTTCAGCATTCAGTACAATATTGCATCTAGTTTACTCAAAATGACAACAACAAAAATAAACATTACATAATAATAATAATAAAACGTTGTTATAGCAGCTACATAGCAAATTACTGTATGCACTAAGGAGAAAAGTATGCATAAAGTATAAAATTATAGTAATAATAGTAATACCAACTAAAAATAAAATAGCAGAGTAACGATTTGAACGACAGAAAGTGTGACACCATAAAATTACAAAAAGATGAACAATGAAAGGGTCGATTCACTGTGCTAATTACATAGTAACTTATGTGTTTCACGTCTAACAGAGTCTTCGTCACATAAAGTACGCGCTAAATAGGGTATTGTAGAATTTCTATACTTAGTGGTACGAGCATATAACTTTTTATATTGACTTCTCATCCTACCTGATGAGATACAAGGTGATAGGTGTGAATAAAGGGAGTGCAGAGGGTCTGACTGTATAGCCTTTGCCCATTTTGTACAGGAATTTATATGCCTCTCGACTATAGTATTAGCGAGCTCATGCAGTGGCAGACCACAAGCCCTACTTGCAGCATTTAATACTCTTCGTAATATGATATAGTCTTTTTTGAGAAGCCCAGGAAAGATTAATAGAGAGCAATAGAGTACAATAGGTAAAGTACAGGAGTTTACAAGTTGCAGAAGTGAAGGTTGGTTGATACCTGATTGTCTTAACTTTTAAATGTAGAAGGTAAGACGAAACATTTTCTTAGAGATAGACAAGATGTGTGATGAACATGAAAGGTCATCAGAGGAAAGAACTAATCCAAGGTATTTAATGCTGGACTTAGTTTCAATTTCAGTGCCATCTATGTATGCTACAGGCATCATGGGAACTAACTAGTTCGTGTATGTCAAGTCAATGCTTGAAAGTAAAGTCTACTGCCTGACATTTGGAAGAATATAACATAAGATCACCTAACATGGAAGATACAGGGCAAATATCTGTGGTCAAAGACAAGTAGTTTATTTATCACATCTATCACTTCAAATGGTCTTGTCTGATGGCAGTAAAAACGGAGAGAGCAAACTGTTTCTGTGCAGCGCATACATCCTTTAATCAATAGTCAGTGGAGTATCAAGTCTATACTAGAGATGACGTCAGTTGGCTGATAGATGCTACATCAGCCTCCTCATTTGGGTGGATTCAACTGTTTCAAACATCATCAACACCTGAGCTATATATCTTCTTCATTAGTTATCAAATTACATTAGATTGTACTAGTCATGATTCTGTTACACAACAGACGATAAAAAATATACAAAATATTGATTTTCTTTCGGGGGTAAACTTTCCGCAAAAATACGCACGCATACACACACACATATGCGAACTACACCATGTGACTGTTATCCCTCCGTAGAGGGGAAAATTTAGCATGAATAAAGAAGAAAGACAGAGAAGAAAACTAGATCAATACCTGTTTTATTTCGGTTTACTACAAGATGTACTTTATTTCAGCTTGGATTTATATATATATGCTATACTATTATTGATAAATATATACACATTTATATGGTAGGTAACCTTTAATTTCGACAAATTTGATTAAGCGTTGGTTACGCTTTCATTTATCATCACTTTTCTCTGGGTTTTTATCTCCAGCTGTCACCCTCCCTCCCTTCATTTCTCTCTCTCTCTCTTTCAGTGTGTCTTACATTCCATTCTATTCAATTGTATTTATTCATTCCTTAGGGGTTTTTTCAACGGGTTTTTACCTTATCGTTCGTTATTTAATTGTTCTTTCACTGGTTTTTACCCAAAAATATTTTGTACTATATGGCCAACAGCAACACCAACAACAAGAACAGACAATACTCCTCCAGCATAAATGGGAGGAGTTTGAAAAAAGTAACCTCCTTTACACCTACCTGTCTCCCTGGGAAGCATCATTTCGACTGCAGGCGGATGGAACTGGTGAGGACATTAAAACAGCGAGGATCGATCGAGAAAGCAAGGGAAGCTTTCATTACTCTTAAGTCTGTGCGGAGGAGATCAACAGCACTCCTCAGCATGAAAATAAGATTCGAATTTTCAACTCCAATGTGAAGTCAGTGCTACCATACGGATGGATCAGAGACTTGAAGCCGCTCCGCGTCACGCAGAGCACTTCGAACAAACTACATACCTCGATCAACAACTGGCTTTGCTCAGTACTCAAGATCAGATGGCCGGCCAGAAAATATGGCCACCAACAGAAAGGGATCTCTGGGAATGAACGAATCAACCAACCCAGCTGGAACCGATTGTGCAACAAATATGCAGGAAGAAATGGAGGTGGATTAGCCATTCGCTGAGAAAACAAACCACCATCAAGTGAGTGACATCACACGCTAGACCATCTGTCGAGTGGAGCCAGAATGTGAAGCGGCGAGTTGGTCGTCAGTGCAAGGGTGGGGTGAAATAGGGGAGGTGATGTGAACAGGAGATCAAGAAATGTGGGCAGACGTGGAGCCAAGTGAAAAGGTTAGCAGAGAACCGAACGCAATGGCCACGTTTGGCTAAATTCCTATGTTCCTCTAGGAGGTAAAGGAAACGATATATACACATGTTTTCCACTTTGTTTCACTAGTGTGTTGTTCGGGTTAAAATGTAGGTGAAACCACTTAAATTCTCACACACACACACACATAGTCATGTGTACGTACATATACTTAATACTAGGGTAACTTGACTAATATTAAGAATTGTTTGACAAGTAATTAAGAGGAATGTGGGTCACACTTTTGATATAGATATAACTGGACATCATTCTAGAGGGCTCTCGATCATGATGTATTCAGAATTGTTATTATTAGATGGTTGAAGGCATTCAGAAGGAAGTTCAGACTGCCAATCACCAATCCACAAAACGTATCTGCAGCCATTTAAGGAACTCATATCCCTTCTGAGATTCGAATCTGTGTTACCCAGTGTTGCAGCCAGAGACGTTATCACTCAGATATTTGGCCTCAGGAGTGAATCTTCGTAGGACTGTATTAGGCGCTTTGATCGAACACTAAGTAGTAATTAACTGGTGTCATGAGAGTGTAGTCCTTTTATTGGTGCGGACGCAATTCTATCGATTGCTTTCAACCATCTAATACCAGAAATTCAGTGCGCATCGTAAATGGTGAGTCACCTAGTGGCATGATGGCCACGTTTTAAACTTCACTGATAGAATTCAGTCTGCACCAAAAGAGGGTCTATGCACTTGGCACTATTTAGTGCCAATCAAAGAATCCAATACACTCCTACAGGAGGTCAACCGTGGGCCTGAATAGTCCAGTGGTAAAGTCTCTGACTGCAGTACTGGGTGATGTAGGTTCGAATTTCAGAACAGATATGAGTTCCCTCAAGATTGCAGATAAGCGTCGCTGACTGCTGAGTGCCATCTATGGGTACTGTTGTATTCCTAGTGAATAGGGATGTACCAACAGTGAGGTGCTCCCCTCAGATGGTAACTAGCATACCATATGTGCTACTTCTCCCTTCTGGGGTGGGAGGGGGAGGGACTGACTTAGAACAGCTGGACCCCAAAATTGTACATTCTGAGTCCCCTTGTGAAGTCCGTCGCCAGCAGTAAGATCTTAATACGGACGGGAT